TTCACACGTGAAAATAACATGTTATTTTCACGTGTGAAGATATCAATTTTTCGAAATAGAGAAAAATAGATATTTCATTGGTAATTATATAATAAATGTATATATCTAAATTGTGACATGTTGATTTCAGACTGAAATGGACTACTGGGATCATTTACAAGGACAATGGGAAGATCTGGTCAGGTGCGTTTGGTTACCATTTCTTAAAAACTATTGCAAGTTGAATTGTTCCTAAGACAATTCATTTGATTTGAACAACACTTTTTTGACGGTTTTTGTTATAGGTATGGAGATGAGGATGCGAGCTCCTGGTATAACGAATATGATGCAACACTTAATAAGGTAGCCTTTAGTTTTACAATAAATTTCTTTTTATTAATTTATGGTTTTACCAGCTGGTCTAGGGCCTTAATATATCTTTTTAGCTTCGTTGTTTGTTGTGCACATTTCAGACCATGTCATGCCACTCTTGGGAGTTGATTCTTTCATGTGTAAATATTTTCACATGTTCGTCATAAAAGAATAATACTCAAGGGAATGTCATGTGATCTGAAATGGGCAATTTGCATATGAAGCTATATTGCTCTATATAGGGTGATTATCCCATTTTTCAATTTCCCATTTTACATCCGAAGCATCAATTCATTTGAAGAGGATTTCCACAAAAAATCCTTTTTTCCTTTTTTCATTTCCTTTTATTTCCATATTTAACTAAAAACCATCTTTACAAAGACTTCCCTTTCACTTCCCTTTCACTTCCATTCACTTCCCATGCGACATGAGTTTAATACTTTATTTCCTCAACGACCCAGGAATATAAATTTGAAGAAGACAACCCGTTACTAGACCATCCTAATCCATTTGAAGAAGGATTAAAGAAGCTTAAAGAAGGCGACCTGATAAGTGCTATATTGTTGTTTGAAGCGGAGGTCAGTAGATTCTCTGTTCAGTAAACCTTTTATCTTGGGCATAAAGCTTTCTATTTCAGATAACATGTCACTCTCTTGAGAATAAGATTCTTTGTTTTAGTTGTATCCATATTCATGTGTTTTCTCATGCCCAACCATTAAATAAAGAAATAATACTCTAGGAAATTACATCCAAGCTGGTAATCAGAGGTCTATAATTGTATCATGTGATAATGGGTTTCCTTTCTATATGCTAATTAATTGCTCATGCCTTTGTTTTGCAGGTACAACAGAGACCAGAACATGCAGAAGTAAGTACATGTATTTCTTCATTCATTCACTCCCATTATCATCCTTTTCAAAGCAAAATTGACATTGAAAAACCTTCAACATTTCATTAATTTTTTGTTTAGAATTTAAAGGGTTTTTGAAGACATTGAGAGTGAGAAATGGTGCAGATTCTTAGCATTTTCATGCCAACCATGTCTTTAAACATTACACCTCCTCAAAAGATTTCTGCCTCTCCCTCGCCAAGCTAGGAAAACAATTATTCATCAATCATTAATACAATTACTATATCTTTTTAAGAAAGAGACACACACGTATTTAGAATTTTACTCTACTCAGAGRCATTATGTAAAATAATATTACCAATTCTGTGGTAGGGTTGGCAGTACCTTGGGACAAGTCAAGCAGAGAACGAACAAGATACGTTGGCTATAATGGCACTGAACAAGTACGCCAATCAATTGTCCCCTTCACAGTTTCCGGCACCATGTTGAAAGCTAGCCATGCATTGAACGATGTGTTTTCAAATGATAGCGATGTGAATAATTGTCCAAGGTGTTAAAAAAAGGTCTATCATTGCAAGCTCACCGTTCGTCTCTCTTTGATACAAAGGCATGGCTACCTTTCAAGATGCTGCAGGGAACTGTAGAAGGGATTATTGAGTTTGAAAATAATTTGCATGTGGTGAAAGATTATGAATAAGAATACAGATCTTTTTTTTTTTTGAAGAAAAACCAATAGTGGTAAAATGAATTATTTGTTATTCTTGAAGGTGTTTAGAATTACAGCCTGTTAACCTAACAGCATTAATGGCGCTAGCAGTAAGCTACACCAACGAGTCCATGCAGTCACAGGTAAGGCTGAGGTACAATAGATCCTTCTCTCAAATAGAGGGTGGGTGGGCCAAGGCTTGAGCCTTGGAGGAAGCCAGTTACTCTTGCAAATAGCTTCTTTTCGTGTCAGTTATTTTACACAAGGTATAGATTCTCCTTTCCTTAAATAGATGGTGGACCAAGATTAGATCCTTGAAGGAAACCAGTAGCCCTTGCAAGGAAATCTCGTTCATTTACAGTTTTGTCATTTTTATGTCTTATGCAGGTGGTTTTCTTGTAGTCAGCATTATTCTATGGAAAAACTCTTTTTTCGTGGTAGTAATTGTTTTAAACATTACGTTTCATTGACAGGCATGTAGTACGTTAAAAAGATGGCTTAAAGTAAATCCACGGTAAGCTGAAAAACTTGTAATATATCATATATTCTTGCTGCCGTTGTTTTTGCTGCTGCTCCTGCTGTTGCTGCTGCCATTGTTGCTACTACTCTTGTTCCTGTTGT